TTGTTTCAAAGCACTCCTTATAAATAATTGGGATTAATAGGTGTACACTGCATTGCTGTCGTCGCATTTTTTAAATACCATAGCATTTCAATTCCTTTCCAGTAAGATACGCCTCATATTGCCTATTTAAGTATCAACAGACAAGGATAGTTTCAGCTGCGTAGTTTTTGCGATATTTTATCGGATCCAATGAATCTGAAGTCGTTTTGAAGCACTTTTTATGGTTAATTAAGGTTAATAGCGCCTACATACTGTGTAATACTGTCATTCAGCCTCCAGGACAATCAGCACATCCTGCTCCGTAACAGCTCCAAAAGGATGAAGCGATTACCGTTCTTATTGTCGAACACAGGAGAACTCTAAATGGACAGCTAATACTCGTCTGCAGTTCCGTTCAGTTTTCCGTTGAAGCTTGCGGCCAACTCAGTCCACATCAGTTTTAAGCACAATTACCAGTGCGACTTCGAGGTACCAAGCCACACACGACGCGACGACTTCTTCTCTTGCCGCTTCTTGCTCTTCATTCGAATCCGGAGATCAGAAACTGCTATTTGCTAGACATCAGGGGCGGAGGTATTACGATTACCTCTGTATTAAGCATTTCATTTTCCAATCAGCTTTGATAAGATGGCGTCAAGTTGGTTGACTTTTAACTTCCCACGCAATCGTATGATCAGTTAATAAAACAAAGGTTGGCCATAAGTTAGCTTCTTCTAGAAGAAAGTCAAACACGGATACGGACAAATAGGCCTACACAAACAATTGCAGACACAAATGAGATAATTACAAACTAATTAAACTATTTAAAACTTCAATAAAGTAAAAAGTTCCAATAAAAAGTGTTTAAAATCAATTTTCTCCATAATACAATGACTTTGTTACATGATACATTTATCCACTTGTGTCGTCATTTGTTTCTAACAAGTTTCTTCCTATCAGAGTCTGTCAAATACACTCTTCCGAACAAATTAATGATGTAGTGTTGTTAGCTTCGCGATAAACTGGCAAATGGCATGTTCGCAAGCCTTAAGGACAAATATACAGAGAAATCTGTAAAATATACCTAATAGGTGTTAGGTAGAAATAGAATTACCGGGGCTAGAAGTATATAAATATGTACCCTCTGCAACTCCTACAACCCAACACCCTTTTAAACATCTTCCAATATGGAACGTCAACAGAATAAGTGAGCGATATTTATTTTTCTCGTTTTACCCCTATCCCCGCTGCCGCTGGAACGTTGTTCAAAAATTGAAATGCTTTTTCGTCCCTGGCATAGATGGAAATCCGAGCAGTACTTTCCAAATTATATACAAGCCGACGAAAACGAGTAACATGGTTTTTCTTGATGTTGATGTCATAACATATAACGCCCAAGAAACATCTCATTTTCAAAATTGTTCGCGACGATAGTACCGTGAGAAGTGGATTTGAAAGAATTTACTTCAAACTATAACTATTTCGATCGGCTGTGATGCACAATTCTCTCAAGCAAGCATTTATTCTACAACCTCCAACCTCTGTAGAAAGAAGGCTTTGCAAATGATAGCAGACTTGGTTGTAAAATGTTCAGTGGTGGTGTTCACAAGTTTTCTGCAGGGAGCAGTACTGACTTCAAGGTTGTTTCTGCTTCACAACAATAACATCTAACGCGAAAAGTCTGATTTAAAACTGGATACGTTTTCGGTTGATGGAAGATCTGGAAGTTGTTTATACCAGGGTATGTAGCAACGTATGGTTAAACTTTGTTAAGGAACTATACTAAGTGACATATAAATCCGAACACCCAGTTTAAATGGTTTTATTTTAATAAAAGTTGGTGAATGTATTTATCTTACTGTAAATAACAAGTTCAGTTGGACATTCCGGTTTTTATACTGCTTTTTTTTAATTCACTAACGCTCTAAAAATGAATATTTCAGCCGCAGTAAAGAATCAACGTTGGCGGATTTTGGTTCTTGACATCCTTTACGATCGGTTACGATGCCTAGAGTAGGGAGACCTGTACGATTTCGTCAACTTAGTGAGTTTGATAGGTGCCGTATAGTGTGACTTCGGGAAGCTGGACTTTCTTTTCGGGCAATTGCAGAGTGCAAAGAAGTGTAGACACTGTGGTTAGGTGTTGTCAGGCATGGCTTCGAGAAGGCCGTACGCAAAGAGCAAGGGGCACTGGACGCCGCCGTAGAACAACAGGCCGTGAAGATCGCCGCCTAAGATTATTGGCCTTAATGGACCGTTTCTCCACTACCAGGTCCATTGCAAATGAATAGTTTGCAGAACACGGAAGACCTATTGGCATGCGAAGTGTTTACCGACGAATGAGAAGTTTTGGCTTGTTTTCATACCGGCCACACTGGGTCCTCCCTTTAACTCGAGAACACCGACGTAATCGCCTTGAGTGGTGCAGACAACGGTCACTCTGGGATCAGGAATGGAACAGTGTTGTCTTTAGTGACGAGTCTCGATTTTGTTTAGGCATGCACGATGGTCGTGCCAGGGTTAGAAGGCGACGTGGTGAAAGGAGGAATCCACAGTTTTTTGTTGAAAGACATGTTCATCACACTGTTGGAGTTATGGTTTGGGGTGCTGTAGCTTATGGTTCCAGGTCACCTTTAATCTCCATCCGAGGTAACATGAACACGCAGCGTTATATCCACAAAGTTCTAGAACCCCATCTTTTACCCTATCTTGACACCCTGGCAGATCCAACTTTCCAACAAGATAATGCCCGACCACATGTTGCAAGAGTCACAATAGACTTCTTTCAACATAATGGTGTCACATTGTTACCATGGCCACCAAGATCTCCCGACTTATCCCCAATTGAGCGCGTGTGGGATATGATGGGTAGGAGATTGCTCAATTTGCAACGTCCTCCTCAGACTCTAGAAGCACTTCTAGAGGAGTTGGTGGTTGCCTGGAATGAGATACCACAGGAGGACATTGACCACCTGATCAGAAGCATGACTAGGCGCGTTTCAGAATGCGTAGCACATCAGGGTGCATCCACACATAATTAAAGGTCAAAGGGTTTTAAAGCAGTGCAATCATTTTGAAATTTTTATCATTTACTTATTATGCTTCATTAAGTACTTATACAAAATTTTATTAAAATAAAACCATTTAAACTGGGTGTTCGGATTTATATGTCACTTAGTATATTATAGTTGCTGGGACAATGTCGCATTTTACAATTAGAATGGAACTGTTGCTCCACTTTCTAAAAAATTGATTGCACGTATCAGTACTTCAATAGATAATTGTATTCGAAATTGGTGACTGAGAAGTCTTGTGATCGACCATTGTAGGGCTCTCCACTTAATTGAAATATCAGAAATGAGTAATAAGTATTTATGCATTTTATATCCGAGAATACGTGATATCATGCTAAACATTAAAAATACTCTTATATTTGGCAAAACAATTCAAAAGCCATAAAGACGCGGAATGTTAATATAGTTTTGACACCTAAAAATGAGCAATAGGTTGTAGATGTAGAAAAAACTATTCTGGTAACCATCTTTTTTGTGTTTTGCTGCTATATGGTTTCTCACTGATTCATTAATTACTATCACCCTATATATAGCTTTCACCGATCTGAAAAAAGGATAATATTGTTACAGCTATTTGTTATTGGCAAACAGATAAACTGAAGGAAGTCAGTGTTATCGGATTTCGTGATCTGGATTTAAAAAAAAACAAAAAAACGTATTACCAGCCTTTCTTCAGAGAACGTTCAAAACTTTCGCGAGTGCAATACTTTTCTCATATACATATGTAAACTCATAGTTTTAGGTTGAGGACAAACATGGAAAAGCAATTTTGTTTTACAAAAAATCATCCGATGGCGACAGACTAAATAATATCAATATATGAGTAACAAGTAGGCATTCAGGTATTTTATATGTCAGACTATAGTAATAGTTTGCTAATGAAAAGATTTGCCTGAACCAGTATTCAAGTACTAAAAAGATTTCTATATTTTGGAATCCGATCCTGTAGCGACAAAGTAAAGGCACGGGATACTGATAGAGTTTTGACACCTCCAAGCACTATCAATAGATTGTAAAATGTACAAAAGCTTATTTGTGATAATAATAGTAATAATAATATTTATTCACTCAATGTTCGAAAAGATCAAACAACATGAGTAAATAAATATAGAATCAAAACATAGAATTGTTGCAGCTCTTTGTTAAACGTTAACACCAGCAAACAAACTGACATAAGTGTTATCGAATTTTGTGATGTAGATTTCTAAACGCAGCTACTAAACGTTTAGCGTTACAATACTTCCCTTGCATATGAGTCGTTTTCAAAATACAAGATATACAGTTTTTTCAATTATGCTTTTAGCATTACAGTAACATTTGAAGCTACTTTCTTCTGGACAGTTGAAATTACTGACAGCTAGACAAACTAAAACACAGAAATGAGCGACATGGATATAAATTTTCCGAAATTCTTGGCACTTTCAATACTTCCCCATAAGCGTAGAAAGTCAAACACTGGCATAGTAAGATTTAATTTCTGGCCTTCCATTACAGATTGTGAAACGTTGGATACCAAGATTAGGCGTTTATTTCCTCCATTACAAGCCTCAGTAATGTCATAAATCTGCCTGTCATACTTTTGTTCCTACACAAAATACAAATTTAACATTTTGCCCGTACAACAGCGTATTGTTCTCTACCGTATTTTTAACGCAGAAGTTGATCTTTTTACGGCAATAATAAAATAGCTGGGGGCGCGGCGGTACGCAAATAAATAAAAATCGGAACAATGTACTTACTTTAAAACAATGCCAGAACAATGGGGGATTTGTTTATTTTGTAATATTTTAATCACGACTGATATCTCGAGACACTATCTACCTGCAAACCACGTAATAATTATATGCCTACTCAGATATGATTTACAGTAAGGTGTATGTTGTTCAACGGAAGCGTATTATTACATACAGGATGTCACCTGTTTCTTGGAGATATGTATGGTTATAATTAACTTTTGGAAGGAACGGAATCAAGCAGAGCCGGACAGTGCCTGAATTGATATGGGCCGTGTAGGCAACTTATATTTCTCAAGCTAACAAGAGGTCCTATCACATAATTATCATCTTCAGTGACAAGCAAATCATGGAATGCCTAGGAACACAAAAAATATTTTTTTATTGATGCAGGCCTGTAAGCAGACAACTAAATACAGGGGTACTGCGACCGCAGTACTCTGTTTTGGAAATATTAAACTGTAGCAGATTGTTGCATCCCCAAGGAATAATAACCCCAAGATCTCTCGTAACAGATTTTTTCTCCAGCTCATCAGCAGATATCGGCTTGCCACACTGAATGCCTGCGTTCAGAGTGCTGTCATTCAGCAAGTGCGAGAGCAGGTCCTTGATATGTAATAGAAACAGGAGATCCCGTCAATACAAGCCTTCCAACTGCAAAGCATCTCTGGAAGGCCACTATGTGGAAATTTCCACCAAAGGCCGATATTCCACAGCAGATTTTCGTGATATCAAGAGCAACAACATGAGCCTCACAAAATTCCTGGAAGATCCAGACATATCCATTGCTTGTTTCCTTTACCGTGGATATCTAAGCAAGGACAAATAGCAGTTTATGTGCAACTTTCGGATTGATATTACATAGATTTAGTTTTATTTGAGTCCAGCTCGATCCCAAAAAAATATGGGATGGTTTGTTTTGCACCATGATTTCTTCATACTGTCGCCGCCGAAAATTCAGAGTAGTAGTAGTAAACATTTATTCACTCAATTTTATAAGAGCAATAACAACATAGAATGGGTTAAAGAAATGTTTCAACCCATAGAAGGACAATGATTGTACATGGATCAGTCGTATGTTGAAATATGTTCCAAAATCAAAACAAAAAAGAAAAACTTAGGTACATCAAAGGGGAGTGTCTGCAGAGGATGATAATTTTTAAGGACTATTTGATAGGAATTCAATAATGTGTCTTTCTATTGCGCGTATCCTTTCTGATAATGTCTCGTTAAAATTATGTGTATTTTGATATTGTTTTAAGTCTTTGGGTATGTGTTCATATAATTTTGGAGTAAATTAGAGATAAGATTTATATCGTGTATCATGGCAATGAGTGATTTTATTGCGCTCACTGACAACTTTGTGATAATGGTTAATAGTATATAAAAAATAAAGTTGCTTGATATCAAATAATTTTGTTTCGTTATATAAATCATTTGTTGAATATAGTTTTGGTATTCCGGAAATAATTTCAAGGACAGTTCTTTGTAAAACTTCTGTGTCATTTAAGTACACCGGACATGCTGTACCCCATGCTAATATACCATACCTTAGGTGGGCTTAATTAATTCATGATATATAGTACGCATATAATTTTCTGTCAATATGCGTGTGAGGAATTTAATTTCGTATGTAACAAATCTTATTTTCTATAAAATCTGCATGTCCCACCTTATATGTTGGTCTAAAAAATTTCCTAAATATTTGATATTGTCCACTATGTCAATTTTTAAATGTGTATTGTTTATTTTGAAGGAAATATTTGAATAATCGGATAGATGTCTTGCGTATGATGTGAAGGGTAGAAAATGCGTTTTTTCGCTGTTCACTGTTAATTTTCTAGTGTTGAAAAAAATTAATGATTTTATAAAAGTCTTTCTCAATTATTTTCTTTACATCATACCAGTCTTGCCCTTTATATAGTATTGCCGTATCATCAGCAAAACTAATTATTTTAGCTACACAGTTAATATTGAATATATCATTCAAATAGATACTAAATAAAAGAGATCCTAACACTGTACCCTGAGGTACACCACATTTGACAAACATTTCCTTACTGTATGATTTTGATAGTTTCACTTGCAACAAAGAATATATTCTCCCACGAAAACGTATTAAAAAAATCCACTTATAAATAGGGAACACAATTTTGATACATACATTGTTTTTCTTTTTAAAACCCACACTGTACCTTTTTTGCATTTAAAGAAGGTGTTCAAAATGTCGTCCTCCACTTTCCACACAAGCTTCATTACGACGAACCCAGTTTCTTCTTACTCTAGGTCCTCGAAGCTGTCCATTTATTATTTCAGCCGCATTAAAATTTTTTTATCGAAGTTGTCCTTCAGTAGTTATTGGACCAGCCCCAAAAGCCATCCCTTTAAGTTCTCCCCAATACCAGAAATCCATCGGATTGAGGTCAGGAGATCTTGCTGGCCATTTTCGAGGATCAGGAGAATTTCTACCGATCCAGCGATTTGGATAATGTAATACTGAATGACGTCTCTAAAAATGTGTGGTGGTGCCCCGTCATAAAGAAACCACAAATTCTCTTCTTCTCCGTTGTATTGGCATGTTGTCTAAGGTCTGTTCCAAAAGTTCTGGTAGGTTATTGGCTAGAAAGCTAAGGTATCCTTCGCCTGACAACTTTGGGGGTAACCCGAAAGGGCCAATTACCTGATCGTCAAGAATACCCGCCCAAATATTTATTTTAAAACCTTGTTGGAAATGACCTTCACGAATGGTATGCGGATTTTCTTGGGCCTACGTGTGAGTATTATGGAAATTTAATATCCCGTCTCGCGTAAAAGCACATTCGTCCGTCCCTAGAATGTTTTTAAAAAAAATCCGGATTTTCAATGTTTTTGTGCAAAAACCACTGACGGAATGTTAGCGAGGATAGTTTTCTGGTAACAGGGCCTCTACTCGTTGTACATGGTAGGGATAAAGCAAATTTTCCCGTAGGATTCTATGGTATGCGATAGTCCCACGTGGCGGCCTAATTCCCCAGTGCTGCATTGATTTCCACGATATTTAAAATTTATCCCTCCTGCTTTACAGTAACCTGCCTTTCACGAGTGCGAATATTAGTGGGCTGAATACTTCCTGTATCTCGAAGTCTTTGGTGCACTTGTACAAGTGTCCTTCTGTCTGGGTGTACCCGTTGGTGAAATATGTCGCGATAAATTTGAGCTGCAAGATTTGAATTCTGATGAGCTCCACCGTAAACTAACAACATGTCGGCGAACTCTTGATTCGAGAAAATTGTAAATAAACACGACGACGTACGAGAACAATAACTAGCCACTGTTACCATTTGCGATCGATTGCCGGTTCGATAAGAGTGATGAAAGATCGACGCGCTGTGTGTTTAAAATATTTAATTTAATGAAGCTTACTTACTCACTGACTACAAATTTTGGCTTAACTTAGAAAAACCTAATGCGCTTTATTTGTTAATTGCCCAATTTAACAACATTTTAGATTAGATTATAAAAATTAGTAAGATTGTGGTCGATATAAAGCACTTAAAGTTGTAAACTATAAAGCCATTTAGACAAAAATCTATTGACTTTTGGACCATGGGTGACTTGTTTTGACTCCCCGCTATTACCCATTTCAATAATGACTACCATAACGTTTACACCCCGTATATTTACAAAAATTAGAGCGATTCCATTTCGCGACATCTGAGACGCACCTCTGAAAAGTGATTTGTTCAATACTGACATTTTTTCTTTTAATATGCTGTCAAGTACAATGGTGGTGAGTTAGATGTAGCCTATTCACGCTAGTTACTGTCATTCGCGTGCAAAAAATTCCACGCCCTTGTAAAAGGCAAACAATGCTCCAAATGAATCTGTTGTATTCGTCTATTGTGCTATCACAAAAGGCCAGCCACTTCGAAATTTCCTATTGATGTTCTGCCTGCCTCTGTCTCACTCTCACACCAGAGGCGTCCAGAGTAACAGGAAACTGTACGAGGAGTTTAGTTTAGTTTAGGAAGCAACTTTTGCGACACACAAGACTCAATCAGCAACAATAATAGCCCAGTAAATGCAACACTTTTGCCTAACAAAAACTATAGTGGCGAAAACTGGTAAATATTGTCCTTTAGCATGAGGAAGAGTTCAGAATCCTACCACAGGCTGGAACTGGAAACTGTTATTGAGAATAATATTGAGTATCATGATACTGAGCAACTATGGATCACCGTAAGCTTTAACCAGAAAAGTTTTGCTGTAGGATCTTTATACCGACCCCCAGATTACCCCGTGAACCAATTTATAGATAATTTGGAAGTAACGTTGTCCACACTTGCTCCTAATCATGATTATATCTTATGTGCAGGAGACCTAAACATCGACCTTTTGGATGACAATTTCTGTGGTAGACAGCTACTAAACCTGGTAGACGTTTCGAATTTGAAGCAGATAGTTGAACAACCCACTAGATGTACACCTAAGTCCTCAAAGTTGCTAGATGTTATTATCTGCACAGATGAACTAAACATCTCGGCTATCGATGCATTAGACTGCTCTATGATATCTGATCATGCTCTAGTTTCATGTGAGGTTACACTTTCAAAGAATACTTTTGTACCTTTTCTTTACACATGCAGAGTCTTTAAACATTTTAATTATGAGCTTTTTACAAATCACCTGAATAATGTGGACATGAGTCCAATATATCTGCTTAAGGATATAGATATGAAAGTGAATTATCTGAATGAACTACTGTTAAATATTTTCGATTTCCATGCTCCTATCAGAACAGTCCGCATATCTAGAAAAGGGCCACCTTGGCTTACTCATAATTTGAAACAAATGATGAAACTAAGAGATAAGGCACTAAGAAAGTATCATCGTACAAAGAATCACAATGATTGGTTAGGCTATAATACACTAAAGAACAAAATTAACCACGCGATTAACAAAGAAAAGCAAGTATACTTTGAGCAACAAGTTGCATTAAATAAAAACCGCATGTGGAAAGAACTCGGACAATTGAATATAGTTAATAAAAAACAGAATTTACTACCTCAACACCTAGGAACTGCAAACCAAATCAATAACTTCTTCATGCAATCCATCTCGGGTGATAATAATGAACCTGATCAGTACACTCTTCGATTCTTCTCCGATACGCAACTCCCTCATGAAGCATTTGAGTTTTCGTACACGAATGACAATGAAGTATATCAAAAATTGCTTTCAGTGAAATCAACAGCCATTGGTGCCGACGGTATAAGTATCAGCATGCTGCTGTACAGCTGTCCTATAATTTTACCATATCTCAAGCATATTTTTAATTATTGTCTAAAATTCAATGTAATACCCAAAATTTGGAAGCTT